TTTAGCACACAATGAAGACATGTGGCAGCAGTCATGAACAATATCTGTAGCACACGATGTAGACATGTGGTAGCACCATGAACAATATCTGTAGCACACGATGAAGACATGTGGCAGCAGTCATGAACAATATCTGTAGCGCACGATGAAGACATGTGGTAGCACCATGAACAATATCTGTAGCACACGATGAAGACATGTGGCAGCAGTCATGAACAATATCTGTAGCACACGATGAAGACATGTGGCAGCAGTCATGAACAATATCTGTAGCACACGATGAAGACATGTGGTAGCAGTCATGAACAATATCTGTAGCACACGATGAAGACATGTGGCAGCAGTCATGAACAATATCTGTAGCGCACGATGAAGACATGTGGCAGCAGTCATAAACAATATCTGTAGCGCACGATGAAGACATGTGGCAGCAGTCATGAACAATATCTGTAGCGAACGATGTAGACATGTGGCAGCAGTCATGAACAATATCTGTAGCACACGATGAAGACATGTGGCAGCAGTCATGAACAATATCTGTAGCGCACGATGTAGACATGTGGTAGCACCATGAACAATATCTGTAGCACACGATGAAGACATGTGGCAGCAGTCATGAACAATATCTGTAGCGCACGATGAGGACATGTGGTAGCAGTCATGAACAATATCTGTAGCACACGATGAAGACATGTGTTAGCAGTCATGAACAATATCTGTAGCACACGATAAAGACATGTTGCAGCAGTCATGAACAATATCTGTAGCACACGATGAAGACATGTGGCAGCAGTCATGAACAATATCTGTAGCACACGATGTAGACATGTGGCAGCAGTCATGAACAATTTCTGTAGCACACGATGAAAACATGTGGCAGCAGTCATGAACAATATCTGTAGCACACGATAAAGACATGTGGCAGCAGTCATGAACAATATCTGTAGCGCACGATGAAGACATGTGGTAGCAAACCCTGGCAGAAAATTTTGGTTGTTCTGTATGTTTTTGTTTTACAGATCTGGCTTATCTGTAATGCAGGTGTTGGTTCTTCACCCCTCAGACACATGCACTCCGACTTTAAAGGAAACACCCCGAATTAGTCACATATACTGGCATGCTTGTTAAGGGGCAGACCCATTCTCTACCACAATCGGAGTCCAGAACCCACAATGGGAACAGGCCAGTGAGCTGTTTTTGGTGTCTATGTCTCCACAGTTCTGTTCACCTAGTCCGTCTGTACAGCTGGGTGTACCAGTGAACTGTGTTTGGTGTCTATGTCTCCACAGTTCTGTTCACCTACCCAGTCTGTACAGATGGGTGTACCAGTGAACTGTGGTGTCTATGTCTCCACAGTTCTGTTGAACTGTGTTTGGTGTCAATGTCTCCACAGTTCTGTTCACCTACCCAGTCTGTACAGATGGGTGTGCCAGTGAACTGTGTTTGGTGTCTATGTCTCCACAGTTCTGTTCACCTACCCAGTCTGTACAGCTGGGTGTACCAGTGAACTGTGTTTGGTGTCTGTCTCCACAGTTCTGTTCACCTAGTCCGTCTGTACAGCTGGGTGTACCAGTGAACTGTGTTTGGTGTCTATGTCTCCACAGTTCTGTTCACCTACCCAGTCTGTACAGCTGGGTGTACCAGTGAACTGTGTTTGGTGTCTGTCTCCACAGTTCTGTTCACCTACCCAGTCTGTACAGATGGGTGTACCAGTGAACTGTGTTTGATGTCTATGTCTCCACAGTTCTGTTCACCTACCCAGTCTGTACAGCTGGGTGTGCCAGTGAACTGTGTTTGGTGTCTATGTCTCCACAGTTCTGTTCACCTACCCAGTCTGTACAGCTGGGTGTACCAGTGAACTGTGTTTGGTGTCTATGTCTCCACAGTTCTGTTCACCTAGTCCGTCTGTACAGCTGGGTGTACCAGTGAACTGTGTTTGGTGTCTATGTCTCCACAGTTCTGTTCACCTACCCAGTCTGTACAGCTGGGTGTGCCAGTGAACTGTTTGGTGTCTGTCTCCACAGTTCTGTTCACCTACCCAGTCTGTACAGATGGGTGTACCAGTGAACTGTGTTTGATGTCTATGTCTCCACAGTTCTGTTCACCTACCCAGTCTGTACAGCTGGGTGTGCCAGTGAACTGTGTTTGGTGTCTATGTCTCCACAGTTCTGTTCACCTAGTCCGTCTGTACAGCTGGGTGTGCCAGTGAACTGTGTTTGGTGTCTATGTCTCCACAATTCTGTTCACCTACCCGTTTTGTACAACTGGGTGCCTTTCAAGAGCCTCTTTGCATAAAAGATTAGAAAATGTGACGATACAGCAAAAAAAGATGTTGACTGCATAGATAAGCAACAGATGTCAAAATAACAAATAAATCGTTTTTCATATACGTCTAATTTTTTATACATCTGTGTAATTAAAGTCTATTTTCACGCTGGATAATTACTTCTCAAAACATTTACTGAAAACAAAAAAGTAGGCAATGTAAACTGTACAAATAATAATTTAACAGGGATAAGACTATAAAAACAACTCAAAGAGCAACTCCAATGCTGTAATCTTAAAACAGCATCACTGAAGTTGAATTCAAAGTCAAACTACTATGGGTCAAACTGACAGTTTTCTAGTGTTTGATTGGTGGTCTTTTTTGCCCACAAAACTGTGTCTGGACACAGAGCTAGCGTTGAACTCTCTCGACTACAGTGCTTCCCAAGCGTTCGAACTGACTGGTGGCAATAAAATATCTAACAGGTGGTGCTTCTTCGTGTTACCAAGCAGCAGCATTTATCCCCCTTTGCCTCACCAAAATAGGCGAAACAGTTGAAGAAAGTTCTGAATAAGAAAATTTGTTACAATAACAATTATTTTCACAGAACACACACGAATAATGATCAAAGCACTCTTAATTGTTAGTCCCCGTGTGTTTCCTTGCTTTGTCTACTGCCGTTCTACATGGTATGTACAGCTCACCACCCCATTTATCATTGCCACTCAGTACTTACGCCCGGTGTGCACTACCTGGCCAGCCCAAAGCTCAAAAGAAGCGTTAAGACTGGCTCCGGCTTCGAGATCATTATGAACGCCACTCCTTGTCAGTGCCCACAGTGTGAAGAAGTTGGGCACGGTGTGTGTATCTACCAGTCACCTTCGGCCACCAATAATCACTTCCTTCTAAATTCTCAAACTAGAATGAAGAAGAAATAAAGATAGATCAATGTTACATGGGTTGAAGAAATGTATTATAAGAGTTACTATTTCTCAGGTCATAGGTTTAATTAAAGCTGAATAATATACAGTGTGAGTGTCAGCATGTGCTAAGCAAACTTGTAAAACACAAATTTAGCAAACAAATCAATTAAATGTTTTATACTAGACATACATCTTCTGCAGTAACAATTGTTTAGCTCCTAGCCACTAGATTCTGGTGCCGACTCAAAAGAGCTGGTAAAATGGGTTAGCATGTGTGTAAGCAAGTAGCAACAATATGTTAGCCACAACTGTTAAAGTATTGTTACAGGAACCTATCAGCTGTTACATGAATCAAGGATAAAACATAATAATAAGATGCCGTCATGTTGTTTAATCATATTTGTTTGCGCTTTCAGTTTCATGTTTTTTTTTCTGAAAAACCATTTTTTCAATGTTGCGTCCCTTGACTGTAACCTTTCATCCACCTACCCAACCCAACTTTCTGGGTCACATACCATCCATCATCCTAATCCTGCAATTACACATTAATAAAGAGCCTCTACTTTCAATAATGGATGGAGATTTTGTAATAGGCATCATCACGAAGCTAAGTCATTTCATGTACTCTTATGTTATTCTCACTGGCAAACTACACAAGGTAGAAACTACCTGGTAAAACCACACACATGGGCAACAAATGCTGGGGTTGACTTGCAATATCCACTAAACAGTGCACAACTATTTTTTTGTGTTTCTAAATAATTATATTTGTGTCTTGAGTGTTATGAGGAGGAATAAACTCATAAACTGATAAATGGCAAACTTGATGGATTAAGACCATTTTTGGATGGCTTGGGTGCGACAAGAACAATGACTTGACCTGTGATTCTAGTGATAGTATGAGATGGTGAAACATGACTGCCTAGCTTACTGGTATAGCACATGATGATGATCCCTGAGACAATAAAATCACTGATATTTGCAGGGTGTAGTTACATTTTTGAGCTCATCTAGGTGTGCTTTTGTTGCAGCTCCATGACTATACCTTTCTGGGCAAACCCACAAATGCCCTCTCCCTCAGCAAATTCATTCAGATGTAGATGCTGATGACTGCAGTAACCCACTGGTTGTAAACACATCAGATATTTCCCATTCATACATCAGACACTTCCATTTATACAACCCACCTTGCTGGAACCACACACAAATCCAAACTCAAGCATCCTTAAATATGCGTCATCTGATATTTTCCATTAGCCGCTGAAAGTCTTCAAAATCTCCTTGTTCATAGTGAGTGATCCAACTACTAATGCTCTTGAAGCCAACAAATCTAATAACCTAAGCTATTTAAATTCAATCAGTAACTTTTATTTTATGCAATCAACAACATATAAACAACATAAATGACATGTTAACATGAAATATGGTTACTGCTAAAACAGCATGATATGACCATCCAAGAAAGTGGCTATAAGTATTTCTTTTGATAGGTATAGCATACATGTTTATGCAGATGCAGATAAATATAAACAAGCATACAAAATCATGTGAAACATTACATGGACCATCCATTGTAGTGATTACACATAGCTCCTGCAACTCATTTTCATGGGAAATATTTTACCTGTTCAGTGTTAACTAATCACTACACAGTACATGATCAATTAACTCTGGTCTACGTGGTTGAATCTACATAAAACTAGACTCATTTCACACTGCGGAGTATAAAAAATGCTAAAGTATTTCTACCGAACAAAAGAGCACTGCACAAAATTAACAGAACAATGAAAATGTCACTAGAGTGAACTTACCTAAGCCTCTTGATGCTACATCCGTGGCTATCAATATAGGATTTCTCCCATTGCGGAAATCTGAACACAGGACAATGATCAATTCAATATATTTTATCAAGTGAAACACTACTTCAATAAATTAATTCCTAATGTTAAACTGGTAGTTCTTGGACTCTATACCCATGTATTTTTTTGGCAACAAACTTCCTCCTTTGACAGTGATTCACCTTGCAAACACTTATAACTCATTTTTTGTTCATTACTTAAACTCCTTATGTTCTCACTGATACCCATATTATCCTATCCTATCTTGTTATTCAGGCACCTGCAAAACAATTTTGATATTGCTATTTTGTTGAATACTCAGTTCTTTAACATATCAAGTAAATTTCCTTCTTAACTATTCATTCCTAACATTCTGTTAATGCAAAACTATGAAACACAATCAGGTGTCATTTTTAATAGTTCTAGATGTTACTGTTATTTTTCTAGGACTGACCACCGCATACTCTATTAGGGCCTTTGAATAACATCAAAGCCAAAACTTTACTGCATTTTTCTTGGTGTGGCCTAAGAAAAACAGTTTCACCAGAATGTACATTTTGGCTTCCTCTCTATGTTTGTGTGTGTGTGTGAATAATTCTAAAATTCTGCCCCATTTCTGCCTGTATTTACTTGTGCTAAAAAGGGGCAGGGGGTGTCTCTGAGCCTGAGGATTTAGGGCCACATGTGGACTGTGCAAGTCTGGATTTTTTCTTTAGCCTCCAACAGAAAAAAACCCAAGGATTCGGACCTGGTTCTCCTTGACCATTCAGCCATCCACCCCCACAAACTTTCTTACTGTACTGCAGTGCCCCTGTAAATTATGCTAACTGTTACAATACACTCATGGATCTATAATTTCAGGAACTGAACTAATTCTGGATAATTTCTGAGGTGAGAGGAGGTAGATCTTGGAGGAAAATTAAAGGTATTTTGCATGGTAGTTCAAGGAAAAAGTGAAAATCATTAAATTAAAAAAAATTAAAAACGTTACAATGACAATATATGCCAGAAATGATAAGAATCCTTCATGAACTGTTCCCAGCAGGTCTGGTCAGAATGCAGCAACTGTGATCTCAGAACTGCTGAACAATGGGCCACAACAAAATAGCAACATACAATGGTAACGCAGCTAACAGACAAAATATAATAGAGCTCATTTTCCCTAGCAATAGTAGGGTAAAAAAAAATTATACACAAGGTACATCATACCATTGAGGGCCCAATCTCTTTCTTGCTGACTTTTGTCTCCATGGATACTAATCACAGGCCACCTGATGTAAAAACAAAATACTGTCACATGTTTTGTAATCAACGCTTCTTATTAATTTCTGAGTCAATAAGTCTACTCGAAATTTCTTGTACAAACATTGAACCCTTTTCATTAAACATTTATTCTTTCAGTGTATATTTATTTATGTTAACTTAGATTACATGTATTTTATTCCTCATGCAGAATGAGGATTGGCTGCTAATATTGAAATAAATGAAAACTATGATAAAGTAGAAATGAAAAAAAAAAGGCTCAAAATTAAAAATAATCAGTAAAGTCAAGAGAAAGAAAGGACAGGATCCTTTTCCATGCCTTCAGGCATACTGGGCAAATAGGGCAAGACCTATAATTTATAGACAATCAGCACCCGGTCAGTGATGAGGTCAACACTGTCTTCACTTCTCAGGACTTTACCTGGAACTCATTGGTTGACCTGGGAGCCAAGGTCATGTGTGAAAAAAGTCTGGCTGAACAAAGCAACGGATTTCTGCTATTTGGGATTTAATAACAGAGCGTACAGAAATAAACAGGAAAAAAAACCCAGAAAATTCACAAAATTATATTCAATAATATGAAAAATGAACATCTCGAAAAATCAACACATTTAAAATTAGAACAATCTAAAAAATACTATGCATATTCAACATTATCATGTGGCACAAAAACCTGGGAAATGAACAATTAAAAAACTGAACTGAAATCCTAGGTGTAGTAGTCTCATTGAATGGGATCAGAGGTAATTCTATGACAGTCAAGACAGTGTGATACTAACCACATCACTGCAAATCTGTCTGGTCACTGTACACCTAATACAACATCACGGTCAGCAATCCAGGGGGCTTTACTTGTACCTTTTTTACTTCTCAGCTTCATCTGGCATTAATTATTTTATGTATCCTGTTGTTTCTTTCTATGGCTTCTGTATTGTCTATTCTTCAATCTTCATAACTCAATTTTTTTCTGTAAGACATTCTTAATACTAGCCCTGTTCTTAATACCTGAATGTTGCTTTCTCCCTTCTTGCAGGCATTTTCTTTCTATCTTAGCCTTTCAGTACTTCTAAAATTTCTCCTTTCAGTTCTGATTATTTTGAAACATTTCTGACAATGTTTACTAGTTATTTTTGTTCATACCCACTAGCATTAACTCAGCACTCTGAATGTCGTTTTTAAATTCTTGTCATATTTATCATACTATTACTTAATATTCGTTAGTAACTCTGTGAAGTGTGAATGGTAATACTAATTTTTTTTTAAAGTTTAAAAAAAAAAATAGTTTTTGCCATGTGAAACCCCTCAAGGGAATGAACTCTTCCAGACATCTTGTGATGGAAAAGTTGAGTAGTGCCCAATGATTTGATTTGATTTGATTTGATTTAAGAACCGACAGCGCTCAGGGCATTCCCATAAGCGCTACGTCCCCATCTTCAGCAGCTAGCAAAGAGTTCCGATACTAATGGTGCCAGTAGCTTTCTGATTAAATGTCCGTCTTGACTTTCCTCTGAGCCTTGAGCTTCTGCCAGAACCTCTCGTCACCCCCAACTGCATCAATCTCACCAGACTGTGGTGATCCATCTACTCCTCCGCATAGTACACGCTCTCCCACAAGGCACTAACACCGTCTGCCCTATCATGTAGCAGTATTCCACCAAGTTGTGCAGAGCCAGCCAGTCTGTCCACCTGTTCATTTCCCAACACACCGGCGTTACCCGGTGAAAAAATCCAGACAATACTCCTCACTTGTGTCCTCCGCAGCGAAGCATGCCACTCTGCACGAAGCATACCTGTTCTGATCTTCCTCAGCATGCTTTCTGAATCAGTTACAATTACAATCTGTGTGTGTGTGTCGTGTTCTCTAGACAGTGGAAAGCTGCAGTGACCGCCTCCACCTCCATTCTTAAGTTGGATGTTGTGGTATCATATGCTAGGCTCTCCTGCACCAAACGTCGACCATTAACTTTTGTTAAAAAGCCCCAAGCACTTCTTTTGCCTCTTGACACTGAACCGTCTGTGTAAATTATCAAATCCCCTGAGCGAGCATTATCTTGAATTAATTGCTGAATTTCCACCTCTGTGGCACCTGCTGGCCAGTCTCTGCATTGCCGGCTCAGCGTGATTATGACTCTACACAAGTCAGACTGCTCAGGTGGCACTTTGACCCACTCCTCTCCTCGCCTAATGTTCTCAAGGATGCAAACCTGTCTGATTGTGTCTTCTGCCTGAGCCATCCATGACCTCCCTCTTATCAGCCGCTGACCCTTAACTGCACCCAGAGCTTCATGCAGAGGGTGGTCTGTGTCTGCAGCTACCCTAAGATATGACTTCGCCTGCATCACCTTGTGCCTACCTGCAACCGTCAGCAAACCAAGGATGTATCGCATACACACCACTGGGGTATCTCTGGTGCAACCCAGAATGACCCGCAGAGCCGTGTTCTGTATGCGCTCTAGTTTGTCCATCTGACTCTTTGAGACGGTAAGCAGTCAGAGGCCATAATCCACCACTGACAGGATCAGGTGCTGATATAGTTTGAAAAGCATTCTCTGCTCTATGTCAATTTCAGCCATAGTCTTAAGTGCACTAAGTCCTTTTTGGCATCTCGTCACAACACTCTCCACATGGTCCTTAAATGACAGGCTCCTGTCAAATTTAATTCCCAGATACTTCAGTTTGCTCTCTCTGTTGACGTCTCTACCATCTATCGTGAGACTTGGGACATTAGTTTTAACGATTTTGTTGTCCAGAGAACACCACAAAACAGACGCCTTTTCAGGGTGAACGACAGCCTTCATTTCTGTACACCACTCAGTCACTTTGTCTACTGTCGCTTGTAGCTCCCGAGCTGTTTGTTCCCTCTCTTCCCCCTGCCTATATGCAAGTATATCATCCCCAAAAGTCAGTATCCTTCCAACTCCTGGTGCTTCTAGGCTTGCAATCTTGCTCGTATACACGTTGAAGAGCACAGGCGAGATGGCGGATCCATATATATCTATATACATTCATAAAAGTACAGTAAATGACCATGCCAGTTTTAAATTAATTATGAATTGAAAATGTACAGAAAACCCAACAAAAGTGAAATGCATATTAATCTGTACTATAATAAATACTTACCCATCTCTCTTCATTCTCTTTGATATATCATCTGCTTTACGTTTTGTGTCAACAAATATCAAGGTCTTATTTTCCTTTTCCTGCATGATCTCGTTCAGAAGTTTGACAAGTCTGAAACACAAGATCTAGATGTGACACCAATGTCAAACATGAAGCAGATGCTTCAGTGAATTATATAAACCACAGAACACTCACAGAAAGTAAATCGACCCATTAAAAACTCTATATAATGCCAACAGTGTCAAGCAATAACACATATACCCTTTTTTTCCTTTGATATAACTTTAAATATCTAGTGCAGTGACAGCCAATGAAGCAAACCGCACTGGCACACATGCAACTGAAGAAATTTTGCTTGACAGCATACAGCTCTGGGGTTCATTTAGCCTTACCAAATGTATACCAAGTCCTTTTTTTTCCCCCTCAGAAGGAGAGCAGCAGAAAGAAATTAAAAGATATAGCACTAAAAACATTCTTTCACCGGAATAAGCGAACCGCCCTGTGGTGTTATCTGTTGTTAGCAATAATATTGCAGAGAAGAGTACCTACTTACCAAGGCATTCTAAAAGATTGCTGAAGGTTGAAATGCTCAGCCGTGTGGATGTGGAAAGCAAGGGGAGACTACCAGTGTGTGTGTGCGTGTGTGTGTGTGTACATATATATATATATATATATATATATATATATATATATATATTATATAATATATATATATATATATATATATATATATATATATATATATATATATATATATATATCCCTAGAAACTCAACATAGAAGCTGAAAAACTATGATACCTAGGAAAATATATATTAAGCAGGAATACATCACAGCAGAAACTTTTGAGGTTAATTGAAGAAAGAAGAAAACTGAAACAAACAAGGACAGAAACCAGCAACACAGGGTACAAAACCCACATGTTGAAAGTGAGAAGACAAGAAGCAACTTGTAATCAAGGCATGCAACAAAATAGAGCATCTCCAGCAAAATGGAAGGGATAGAGAAATGTTCAAAGAGATCAGAACTTTAACAACAAAATTCAAACCTTCAATAAATGTAATAAACGATAAAAATGGCAACACCTTGACAGAGAGCAAAGAAATACTTGAAAGATGTAAGGAGTATTTAGGAGAAATGTACAAAGATTCGAAAAAAATGCTAGACAGTACCGAAGAGATCGAAGAAAAAGAGCCTGAACATCTATTAGAGGAAGTAAGAATAGCAATAGAGAACCAGAAATCAGGCATATCTCAGGGATGTGACGACATACCAGCAGAGTTAATTCAGGCTGGAGGAGAAGCCAGCATAATTCTACACCATGCACTATGTGTGAAAATCTGGAACAGTGCTGACTGGCCCAAAGCGTGGAAAAGATCAGTATATATTACTCTCCCCCCAAAAAAAGGAAATTTCAAATTGTGTAACAATTATCGTACCATTGCATTAATTAGTCATGCCAGCAAAATCCTTCTGCATATCATTCCGAGGAGCATTGACAAAAAATTGGAATATGAACTACAAGAAACACAAGCGGGCTTTAGAGATGGCAGGGGAACAAGAGACCATATTTTCAATATGAGAATCATCCTAGAGAAGTGTAGAGAAAACAAGATAGATCTTCATACTTGTTTCATAGAATACAGCAGGGCTATTCAACTGGCGGCCCGCGGGCCAAATCTGGCCCGCCGAGGCCTAGCAAGTGGCCCACCGATCATTGCCAAAATAATGAAATGTAGTTATTAAAAAGAAAAAAAAAATTAATAAACATTTCTGTATTTTCTTCAAAAACCAGTTGTGAAGAATGTTTCAGTAGGAAGTGTTTGTCAGGAATCTGTAAATGCGAAGATACAAGGGAACTGACATAGGAACAGAAAACGTAATTAGATCAGGGTACAAGTTTGCTCCCAGTTTGTTCAAATAGCAAAACTTGCCTGTTTGAAGCCAAAGGTAATAAGATAGGCTGGAAAGAATCAAGTAACAGGTAGGAAGGCCACCGCTGCACTGGACAGTCAATGAAGGTGAGATATTTATTGCACAGGAGGCGTACGGAATATAAATGGCACAGTCAGAGCTTAGATTACATACTCTCTCCTTAATGGGCGCTACTAGTACACACAAACTAATGACATTGGATGCAGCAGAACATCAGTGACACTGGATACCGCAGAATACTGCTAGTAATCTTGTTGTGACACTGGACACAGCAGAATACTGCTAGTAATCTTGTTGTGACACTGGACACCGCAGAATACTGCTAGTAATCTTGTTGTGACACTGGACACAGCAGAATACTGCTAGTAATCTTGTTGTTATCAGATTATAACGTCCAGAAGAACTTCCAGTCACATACAAGTCACAGTCAGACGTAGATTGCCGGACGCGATTGTACAGTAACAAATGGAATCAGTAACAGTGTTTTAAATTATCTACTTTTAATAATTTAGTAAAATATTTGATACCATGGCTAGCACTAGTAAGCGAGCAAAGTGGGGATGTGAAAATTGTGCATTCAACAGTGACTGGACACTGAAATATTTATCTTTATCACCAACCCTGCCTAATTCAAAACCAGTATTGTTGCAATTTTATTTTTTCAACGCTGGATTCGGCAACCTTAACCGATCGAATGATATAAATATTTTAGAAACCTCCGGAATAATTTTAACAACAGATTTGACGACTCCAATATCCCAAACAATGTTGTGTTATTCATTGGAGATCCTTTTAAAATCCCTCCAGCGTGTGAATTGTCTTCCAATGCTAAGAAGTTGATATGCTCTGCTGATGAAGGTTCTCTACAGTTAGAACTTGTGGACATCCAAAATGAAAGAGCAGTGAATGAAGATTTTCAAGAAAGTGGTACCGCTAAGTTTTGGTATCCGAGAGGATTCAACAGGAGCAGTTCCCTAATGCTAGAAAAGTTGCTGTACTGATACTGACCATGTCTGGCTCAACTTTCACTTGTGAATCAAGCTCACTAAGCTCACTGAGCAATGATTGGCTGCAGGATTGCATGAGAATTGCTCTAACTTCTCACAAGCCAAATTTGGTTAAAATTAGCTCAAAATTGAAAATGCAGCATTTCCCATTTATTACATTTTGGATCGTTATATCTTTCAGTTTCTTATTCAGAACATGAAACCAACTGTGGACAGTTATTATTATTATTGTGACAATGAAATGGAAGTGGCAAAGGTTTTATTTATGATCCCAAAGACAAGTTAGAAATATGTGTATTTCAATTAAAATTGATCCCCGTGTCGGTTCCAGGGGCCTATTGTGGGGGAACCGAGAACAGACCCACTGCCACCCCCCCCCCCCCCCCCCCCCCAAGCCAACAGTCGACTAATTGGCAACTTCCTTCGAAGTCCGAGTACATCAGCCTGAGAGCCAAGGAAACCAAGTCTGCATGCAAATGAGTTATCATCATCATCATCATAAACCACTTCTGCTGTTAAGCGTCCTGGAGAGGAATAATTAACGATCCAGTGCACATTAGCTGCCACTGCTATTGTCATGCTGTGAAGGCGTAGTGTGTCTTTAATGTTGTTGATCAATATTTTCCGCGGCCGTCCTCTTGCAAATGATTAGGACGTCTAAAACCGAAGTGTGCGCAACACTCATCTTCTGGAACAGGACTAGAGTCTAGAATTAGATGTACAACCAGAACTTTCCACTGGAGTTTACAGCCGGTGAATACGAAGAAGAAGAATAATTAAAAGTGAGTATTAATCATTACAGAAGATTGTAATTCACTTTACACTATAATGGTTTACAACACTGCTTCATTTATATGGGCTAAGTCCTAGGCGTAATAGTTTTTGAATGTATTAAATCTACAGATTGAAAATATTGTCAATTGTAATGTGGGCTCGGGCCACTGGCCCGCGACGATTTCCATGTTCAACATTTTGGCCCGCGAGCAAACTATAGCAAGGCATTTGATTGTGTTCAGCACCATAAACTATGGCATATAATGAGAGGCATGGAATTTCCAAATCATCTGGTGCACTTAATGGAATCTCTTTACCAGAGTAGCTGGTGAAACATCAAAATGGTTTGAAATGCAGAAAGGAGTGAGGCAGGGCTGCATTCTTTCACTCTTCCTCTTTAACATTTATGCTGAAAATGTTATGAGAAATGCAATTAACGATGAGGCATGTGAGAGCTTTGATCCACTAAAAATTGGAGGTAATCCTATCCCAGAACTCAGATATGCAGGCAACACAGTTCTCCTTTCCAACAGTGTACAAGGTTTAGAAAAATTAATTCTGGCCATCAAAAAAACAACACACACAGAAGTGAATCTTTTGCTAAATTTAAAAAAAAAAAAAAATTATGTCCTCAGTAAATACAATACACCAACCACGTATTACAATTGAAAATGAAGAAATAGAAAATGTAACAGATTTAGAATACCTGGGCTCTTTAGTGAATAACAGTGGCGACTGCTCCAAACAAGTCAGAAGAAGACTTGCAAAAGCAATGCATAGATTAAATAGCATGAAGAACTTATGGCAAAGCACTAGTAAATTGGTTGAAGTAAAAAATCTTGAGATCATGCATTTTTCCTGTGGCAACTTACGGTTGTGAGTCTCGGACTCTCACTCCATCACTGGAGAAAAAGACTTAGAGCTTTTGAATTGAAATGTTATAGCAAAATTCTTAGAATACCATGGATAAGGAAGAGGAAAAACATGACATTCTGAACGAGTTACATCAAGGAGAATTGGCTCATAAACAGCATCCTCTCCCAAAAGTTTAAGTATTTTGGCCACATCACGCATCATGGTGGCTTAGAAAAGACGGTGATCGAAGGTGCGGTTTGTGGAAAGCAAGGCAGGGGTCAACCACCGTGAAAATGGATACAAGACATTGAAGATGCATTAGCACTAAAAGCACATGGGAGCTGGCTAGGGAAAGGGATACTTTCAGATGTGCCATGAAGAGAGCGACATTCTGTAAAGGACTTGCTGACTGATGACTGAAGGAAAAGCTGAAGGCAAGCGAGTAAAAGGCAGAGGTAGACAGTGATACAAGTGGGAGAATAACATTTATAAATGAATTAACAGCAATCTCTGAGAACGTGCAGCCAGGGCAAGAGTCAATGATGGAGATCCAATTTTCTTTATGAAACTGGCACCTGGGTTATACCATCTCGTAATGCTTCACAAACCTACAGAAGCTATTTACCAAGGGTTTCCTTTTATTTTTAATGCAAACAGTGTCAGCATGGGTCATCTGTGCACTTACTTCTCTTCTTTCTCATGATCCATGCATACATCAATGATCTGCAGAATGTTGTGATTGGCTGTTAGCTGCATGGAACCAATGTTCACCTGGATGTAATCATTCAAAAATTCCTCAGCAAGTCTGCGAACTTCTTTGGGCCAGGTAGCACTCCACATTAAAGTCTGACGATCAGGCTGAACAGAAAATGAGAAATAGTAAATGGCTTACAAAGTAAAGTAAATGGCTTACAAAGTAAAGTAAATGGCTTATAAAGTAACATCATTAAAAACAAATTCATAAAAATAAACATTTTTATATAATGTTATATTCAATGTTCCCGGGTCTACATGGAATATTACCTTTTTTATCTGGCCCACATAAATCACGACTGAGCATAGTCACATGTTATGATAATAGATAGATATTTAACAGATTTTATTAGCATATGGGAAAATTCTGTATTTTTGAAAACATTAAAGTATAAATTAATAATCATTTAACAAAATGGGATCCCAAAACAACCTTCATGCTATTTATGTAATATATCACAGTTCTAAATGAGTATGTCACAATAATATTACACCGTTTTATTTATTCGTACAATTTGTAAAATGATCTCTCTGATATATCTCATGAGTTGAGTTGATTAAAAAACCAACAGCACAGCACTCGGGGTATTTCCATAAGCACTTCGTCCCCATCTTCAGCAGCCAGCTCAGTTCCAATACTATGGTGCCACTAGCATTCTGATTAAACGTCCGTCTCGCCTTTTCTCTAAGCCTTGGCTAGAACCCCTCGTCACTTCCCGCAGCATCAATCTCACCAGACTGTGGTGATCAATCTGCTCCTCCAAACCGTACATGCTCTCCTAAAAGGCCCCAACCATTTCTGCCTTATCATGCATCAAAATTCTACCAAGTTATGCACAGCCAGCCAGTCTGTCTGTCTGTTTACTTCCCAACACAACGGTGTCTTCCTGAGGAAAAAATCCAGCCAATACTCCTCACCCGTGTCCTCCAAAGTGAAGCATGCCACTCTGCACGAAGCATGCCTGTCCTGACCTTCCTCAGCATGCTTTCTGAGTCAGTTACAATCACAATGTAATAAGGAGGTTTCTTGGAAAAGGTTAATGGTCGACATTTGGTGCAGGAGAGCCTAGTATATAATGCCACAACATCCAGCCTAAAAATGGAGGTGGAGGCGGTCACTGCAGCTTTCCGCTGGTTAGAGAACACAACACACACACACACATTGTGATATTTCTTATGTCATTAGATCTTTTATGGTGTGGAGAGTACTCGATCTCATGATATTATTATATGACTACCCTATGTGGGTTCCACAGCCACATTTTGAGAAAAAATACAAATAGACCTGATGAAAAGCATATAAAAAATTGACTCACATCATGTTATAAAAGGGGTTTGCTAAAATCATATGTGTCTGGCTAAAATGGTGCAGACATCACAGTTTAGTTTTAAACCACAGGATAACTTGCTAACTGCCTTTTTATTTTTGGACACAGAAGAAGAAATTCTTTACATTTTTTCAATAAAATAAGAAAGTTAGCAAAAAAGTCAATTAGTACCCTAATCTGTTCCAGGATTTTCCTGATTTGAGGCTCAAATCCCATATCCAACATTCTATCTGCTTCATCTAAAACCAGGTAAGTTGTACGTCGAAGGTTGGTTTTACCAGCTTCAAGGATGTCAATCAAGCGACCAGGAGTGGCGATGCAAATTTCTGCCCCTGAAATGAAACACAGAGAGGTATTTAACAATGGTTGTCATTCAGTAGGAAAGCTGACATGGGAAACAAAACAAAAACTTTAATTATTCTTCTTACTCCCTCCTTCTAAGTAAACACTTACCTAGTTATCATCATCAACACTGTCCTGGTGTGCCATTATATGTCACATAGGGTTCGCAGTGTATTTTTCTCTATTCCACTCTATCCTGTGAAATTCCTCTGATATCATGGTCCAGCACATTTGGCCTCTCTCATCAACTTTTCTTTTAGGGTTTCTTTTGGATGTCCTCGCTTCCTCAATCCCTTTACTTCCCATTTTATTGGGGGGGGGGGGGGGGGGGGGGGGGTTCCTCTGCTAATTTCTTATCATAAGGTCTAATGCAGTGCCCTCCTCTTTCGTCCTAAAACTGCTGTTGCCAGTGTTTGCCCTGATATTTCTCGGATTTCTTCACAGCTCATTTTATTTTCTTCAGATATTTGTTTTCAAATGCATTTAACTTGTTCTTCATGTTTTTAGTATTCTCCAACTTTCACTGGCATATGTTAAAACTGAAATAACATTAGAAATATAAACGTGTAACGTGGTTTTAAAACCACTGAACCACTACGTTCAGAGTTACATATTTTATTCAGCATTTTTAAAGCTGCTGATGCCTTACCAATGTGTTATAATTTGTTTTTGTTTTTTCTTTTTCTTTGGCTTTCAAAATTAAAACCTAAATAAGTTAAGTGATCTGTTGCTTTAATTCTTGTTGTCTCTAGCGTTACATCTGCTTGATCTGTTATTGGTATTTTCAATAAATATGTGTCTTTTCATAAATTATCTGTTGTCCATCTTTTAAAGCTGAATCATCTGTTTTTGCATGTTTTTGTCGTTTATACTTAGAAGAACAATATCATCAGCAAAATCAATATCTTCCAACTGTGTGTCCTCCCTCTAGTCAATGCCAGTGTTCCCAATATTTTTTCATCACCCCATAAACAGTTATGCCAAATAACAGGAGATAAATTGCATCTTTGTTTCACTCCATATCTAGTAACACCCTTCTTTATCTTCGAGATCAGTGCATGTGATTCTGGTATTTACTGTGTGAGGTTTACTTCCTCCAGACACATTCAGTCCAGTTGCTGAGCTGTCTTATACCTGCCATAATAACTAAAGGAGCCATTCTCCTACATGACAACATGCAGTCTCACAAGTGAACAGTTTAACTAGGAGATTTTCAACTACCTCACTTATACCACAGAATTGGCGCCCAGTGATTTTCAACCACCTCACATACCACAGCCTTAGTATCCGCTGATTTTCAATCACCTCACTTATACCACAGACTCGGCATCCGTGTGATTATCAACCACCTCACTGGTACCACAGACCTGGCGTCCGGTGATTTTCAACCATTTCACTGACATCACAGACCTGACGTCTATAGAGATTACACATAAAGGAAGGTCTGGCTGCTACCTAGCAGAATCAGTGATGAGGTCAAGATCCAACTGGCTGCCCTTGTAGCACTATTGTTAGTGTTAGTAGGATTGAAAGGCTGGTGCCATCTACTTCATAGCGTTCACCGACTGTAAAAGCCAGTGGAAAGTTCTGGTAGTTCATCCACTTTTGAGCTTTGTAGTGTCCCAAAACTTGAATTCTGCATGCACATCTGTTTTACAGATATGGCTTATTTGTATGCACACTATCAAGTCCTCACCTCTCAGGCAGATTCATGTGTACTTCGGAGAAAACACTCCCAATTAGTCACCTTTTATTTGATGGGGGGGGGGGGAGAGTCCTACCTCCCTGCCCTATGGGATTTCGGACCCAAAACCAGGGGCCAGTGCCATGATATAAGTGTTTATATTTAAATGTCAAATATTTTTTTCAGCTATACAGATGAAGATAAAGTTTGCAGATAATAAGTAAATTTTTTTCTATATTTTTTTTTAAACAAATCAAACTGATTGTGAAACTACTCTTCAATATACATCTGTGAAATGCATTTATATCTGATTAGTTTTCCCAGACGTATTTAAAGGTGAGATGATTGACTTCATTGTGCCCTGTTTTATCCCATATGGCTTTGTTTTCATACCCTCAGCGTGGCTGGTTGCCCACAAATCTAGTATACACCTGCACATGCAAACAAAGTAGCACATCAAAATTATACCTTAAACTACACAGTATGATGCAAACAACAAAAACAGCCAATGTGATCGCACGCTTGCACGCACACACACAGAGAAAGAGAAAAGTTTTCTTCCAAACTTACCTCTCTCTAGATCGCGCAGCTGAGGTCCCTTGGGAGCTCCTCCATACACACAGGCACAGCGTATCTGAGAGGCTCTACCAAATTCATTTGATACTTCAAGAACCTGTTGTGCCAGCTCTCTTGTTGGTACTAGAACAAGCACCTAGAAATATGAAAACAGGTTAGCAGTCAATTCAAAAATCATCATATCCAAACCTCACTTATCACCCTTTCCATTATAATAATGAACTAAATACTCAATTTATATTATTTACTGATTCCTTTTGCCTTGCACAAATTCTGCAGTTTTTAATATTCTTGCATGCCATGGAACCAGACTATCTGTTCTCTATCCAACTGTATTCTATCTGTATATTACAACGATTTCATTTATTATTTAAACAAAGAGGAAGCAACAATAGGTCGCACAATTCAAGGTGATGAAACAACAAAATATGCCAGTCAGTTGTTTTCTTGTTCACCAGCTGTAAACTTAAGCAGAAAGTTTTGGTTGTTCATCCACCGCTAGATCTGTTTCACAGATCTATTTGTATGCAGACTGCTGGTTCCTTGCAGCTCAAGTAGATGCACGCCAACTTTGAAAGAAATTAATTAGTTGCCTTTTATGACATGCTAGGGGCAGTGGGTTTATTCTTGTCCCCCCCCCCCCCTTCCCAGGGATCCCACACAGGGAGCCAGGCAATAAAATGTATAATCTATTGCTTTAACATTTTTGTTTTTTAAGTTTTCCTATTCTCATAATAATTCCAACAAGTGTAGTATTCAAGCACAGTATTCCTTTATATTTCTTAATGTGTAAGAAATTTCTTGAATCCACACGTGTTTTTTTTTTTTCAACAAAATCTATATATATATACAAAGAAAAAAAACTATGCTAATTTTATAGTGTAAAGATTACTTAATTATGAATGCTCAAAAAAAGATGTAAGTAACCATTTTCATGTCTAAACTTCACACTCCATAGAAATATCTAACTGAAAAGAAAAAAAAAGATTACAATGAACACTCACAATTGGTCCATCCCCATGTTCCAGGTAGGGCTGATTGTTCACATGAACAATAGCAGGAAGCATGAACTGTTCAGACAGAAGACAGAATACTGATTAACAAACAATAATAACAGTCATAAACACATTTTATGATATATTATTAAAACAATTAAAATTGACAGCTAAATACAAAATGTTTAATTAGAAATCAACATCAAAGCACTCGGGACATTCCCATAAGTGCTTCGTCCCCATCTTCAGCAGCAAGCAAAAGAGTTCTAATTCCAATGGTACCAACAGCAGTCGTATATCCGTCTCCCCTTTCCCTTGAGTGCTGATCATCGACACTATCACGAGGTCACTCCTCGCAGCAACATTCTTTTCAGACCATGATGATTCATCTGTGCTTCCTCATTGTTCACTTGCACACAAAGGGCCCTTACAACATCTAGCTGGTCATGCATCAATTCACCACCAAATTGTGCAAAACCAGTCAGTCTATCTGCCTGTTCATTTCCTAATATACCAGCATATCCTGGGAAAAATATCCAAAGGACGCTAACTACCCAAGACCTCTTATGCATGCTTGCCACTCTTCACAGAGCATACCCGTCTTCAATTTCTAAACATGCTCTGTGAGTCGGTTACAATTACGACATGTTTGTACAGTTGATTCTCAAGCCAGTGAAAGGCTGCAGTGGCTGCTTCTACTTCCATTCTCAAACTGGATGCTAAATACATATGGACCCATTAAAGCAAGGACCATGAAATTTATAGAAAATCTGAGTAAATGTTTTACAAACTCTACTGAATTTGTGGGAAATATCAAAGCTGAAGGAGTCTTCAGACTGTATACCATTGGTGCTTAAAGGAAAGCCATTGATGAATCGGAGACCCAATTAACAAAAGTGAGGACAAACAGCCATGGGTCGGACCTACTTTCTCAGATGTGCTCAAAACTAGAGCAAAATGTGTGTTTTCCATAAAGGGAAGCAAGCCTCAATGACTGATAAAGAATGCGATTCAGTGACCTTGCTTCCCTTGTGATTAACTTTTCTGGACACACCCACTGAAGATAGAAGGGTGCAAATAACACTACCACACAGACAATGTATAAACTATTCAGGAAGGCAAACTCATCAACAAAAAGCAGGAAGATAAATGAGACATTTAAAATGCAAATGCACTGTAGCTCTGCTATAAACAGATACAATGTATATTAGAAAAGTAAGTACTGGACCATTTTCCACACCTTGAAGCATATTGTCGATATGGTGGCAGCTCTATATTCTTAATAAAACCAAACAGGGTCTGGGGATGTGGTCACTATAAGTCTGGCCTCTTTTACTACCCAGAATATATCCTGATACCCATGCAGGATGCATCTACCTGAGAGCTCACGTCAATCTGTTGAAAGTCCTTGCTTTGAAAGACATTTAAAAACATGACAACAAGGCAGACAAGCAAGCATGCTGGTATGCACTACAAGGAACCCTGTAATACAAATACCCTCCACAATTCTTTTTTTTTTTTTTAAGACAAAGGACCAACAAAGATGTTTTAAAAGCGTGTGGTTACCGAACTTACTCTTTAGCAAGTGATTCATATGTTGATCAGCTGCTGCTCATATGGTGAAAAAAAAATTTTCAGCCCTAGTCTCAGAGCTATTAGTTTCACCATTTGTTATAGTAATTCTGCTTCTGTCCTCTATCTCCCAATAAGAATAAGCCCTCAATGTACTCTTGTTTTTGGTTGGCTTTTTTAGTTGATTTTTACTGGGTGGGTTCACAAATGGTCAAAACCTCATGCACAACCCTACCGTTAGCTGCCATTTACTACACGCATGGTATGATGCACAATGAAGAGAACAACTGAAAGAACTGCTCCAACAATGCAACACCGACAACCATGCAAGAAACCAAGCAACCGAGAAGGGATGAGGATTAAATCATACAAGCAGAGAGAGCCAGATATTAGGGTTAGATACCAGGAGCTTATAGTGAAAGCAGCAGGAACTGAAGAAGAACCATCAGAGGACACCGAAACCCTCTGGTGCATATTCAAGAATATTCTCACAGCAGCTGCAGTAGAAGTATGTGGTGAAGTCCCAAGTGGAAGGCGGGGACAAAGGACACCTTTGTGGATGGGAGAAGTCAAATTGAAAATTGGAGAAAAGAAAAGGGCATGGAAGCAATACCTGGCACAGCTGAAGAAATAGAAACATAAACAATATGTGTTACTCAAAAGAGGCCAAAAATATAGTGCTTAGTGCAAAACAGAAATCATGGGAAGAATTTGGAGAAAAGGAAAAGAATGTAAGAGAAAATCAAAAACTGTTCTACAAGATCCTCAAGAATATGAGGAAGGAGAAAGAGTGCCCACTGAAATTCATATAAGACAAGGAAGGAGCTCTGCTTACTAATAGAAATGATATCATAGAAAGATGGAAAGAATATTTCTCAGAGCTCCTTGGTGTTGAGGAAAGTCATGACCCAGAAATAACGGACCATAGTACTGAGAAGGAAATCATCCATGGGGATGATAACATCAGGATAAAAGAATTAAAGGCAGCCATTGGGAAGATTAAGCTGGGGAAAGCAGCAAGACATGATGGTATAACACCAGAGATGGTCAAATATATGGGAGTTTCAGGTGAGCGCCTTCTACTGAAGGTTCTCCAGGCAGCCTGGTGTAGCAAAACTATACCAAAAGATTATGAATTAATCAAGTAACAGAAAGTGTATTGATCGGCACTCATAGAAAGAAGTAGATAGCTAGAAGAACACACCAGACAACATAAAAATCGAAAGCTATAGTTACTGTGCCGGGAATTGAACCTGTCACCTCCAGACGGCATCTGCGCCTCGCCATGAATACAAGTGCACTAAGAACATGGTCAACTAAGCACCCAAAAAAAAGCTGTCTTATTGGCCATGTCTATCGTACAACTTGAAATTCACAACTATGGAATACGGACAGAATTAATTTCAAACCCTTTAAATGGCACCATAGGTTACAGAAATTTATATTAACGAAGCATATGTCGAATAACAATCACAGCAACAATTTACGAACGCAGTAGACTTGATGCTTTGTCTAGAATACACAAACATTTAAGAAAGGTATTTGATTGGTAGGTTCTGGTGTGCATACGTCATTCCTATAAATAAACAGAGGGGCAACCTTTGATGCCGTTAAATATTATGAATTAATCAAGTAACAGAAAGTGTATTGATCGGCACTCATAGAAAGAAGTAGATAGATAGAAGAACACACTAGACAACATAAAAATCGAAAGCTATAGTTACCGTGTTGGGAATTGAACCTGTCACCTTCAGACGGCGTCTGTGCCTCGCCATGAATACAAGTGCACTAAGAACATGGTCAACTAGGCACCCCTCAAAAAAAGGTGTCTTATTGGCCATGTCTATTGTACAACTTCAAATTCACAACTATGGAATACGGACAGAATTCACTTCAAACCATTTAAATGGCACCATAGGTTACAGAAATTTATATTAACAAAGCATATGTAGAATAACAATCACAGCAACAATTTTTTTGTTTATTTATACCAAAAGATTAGGAGATTGCCATCATTATACTTATATTTAAAAAGGATGATCCACAGCTGGATCAGGCCCAGTGTGGCTTCAGAGCAAACTGAAGTACTCAAGACCTTATCTTCACACTAAAAACGGATGAGTTAAAAAGCCCTTGAATATAAGAGTGAGATGCACCTGTGTTTTTTTTATCTAGAATAGGCATTTGATAAGGTACCTTGGAACAAGCTATTGATCGTCAGGAAAAACATCCCAACACCCCTGATCAGTGCAATACAGTTTCTACAAAAGCTGCAGAAATTATGTAAGAACAGCAGACCGAAAAGTCAGAAGAATTTAAGACCACTAGCGGTGTTAGACAAGGTGATGTTCTCTCACCTTACCTCATCAATCTTATGATGAATGATGTCATCATGACCTGCCAGGAGAAGACAAAGAAGTGCTCAGTAGGGTACTGGAAGATTAGACCATCTGTATTTCAGAGCTGGCATTTGCAGACGATGTAGCTTTGATAGTTAAATCAGAGGCACACCTTCAGTCTAAGTTAGTTGTATGGAAGGAAGAGTTTGAGAAGAGAGGGATGACCATCATTATCTCCAAAACTAAAACAATGGTGATCTAAAGGGAGGAGAAGAAACAATAGATCATGATAGGACACTATATACTGGAGCAGGTCAACCAATTCAAATACCTTGGAGTGGTGGTACTAGACCTAAGCGGAGGCATTAAGACTGAGCTGGCTACATGAAAAGCAGCTTCTGGAAGACTCTTCTAGGCCTTAAAACTGAGGGTTTCTTAGCAAAAGATAAATTGAGGACGAAAATAGCTGTTTACAGCTCTACTTATGTACTATTCCTGACCTATGGGTGTGAGTCATGGGCAATGACAACAGCTCACAGAAGCCAGCTTCAGACCTCAGAAATGAGATTTCTGAGAAAGGTGGTCCAAGTGACAAGAAGGGACAAAGCACGCAGTCAGACAATATGTCACGATCTTCATACCCAATCCTTACAAACCCGAGTGGATCAGTCACAGTTACGATGGTTTGGACATGTATGCCGAATGGGAAAAAATTGGCCACCATGGCAGGCATGAGAGGCTAAGAACCAGGGAACCAGACCTCCAGGGCAACCCAGGGTCCGCTGGGAAGACAACATCTGACAGTCCCTGACAGAGGACTGGAATGGAACAAAGCCAGGAATAAAACTGCTGAAAGAGACGTCTGGGGATCTCTCTGGCGAACCTCTACACCCCAAGGTAGAAGAGGAGTGAGCGACTTAGTAAAGTAATGGTATGATGTAGTGTTGCTAGGTACCATTTCCTGCTTCTCAAACCTGGCAACACATTGTGGTTATAATTATTGTTGCATTTCTGCCTCAGCTATTATTTTATTTCTTCAATCCCAAATAGTCATAGCTTTAACTGTTTATGACTCAGATCAATATAATTTGAAAATAATAAATGCCAGCAGTAAAGCAGTTGAAAGATTAGTAACAGGAAACTTAGTTGTAGACAATTTTATCTTCAGAAAAATGTTGAAATAAGCTCCAACAGTCTTTAACATCGAACTAGCGAAGCAAGAATAACTTGCGTAAATAAGTCAGCTAATACTTACCCCTAAAGTCTTCCCAGATCCAGTCTGTGCTATGCCAACTAAATTCCTCCCCGACAGAGCAATAGGCCAAGCCTGACTTTGAATAGCAGTTGGTGCCAGCCAACTGTTTCTACGAACCTGACTCATAACATAGTCTGAAAACAGAATTAAATTTCAGGAACAAATGCGTTTTTAAATACAGAACACATAATTACCTTATAGCAATAATCACACTAAGGTAGAAATATTCAATAATCATTTAAATGTTCAAGGTATTATAAACATTTAACTAATTTAAAAAAAAAACTAATTGGCTTTCACATCATACAGTTTGCATTCATGAACAAACAAAACTAGACATGCTTATATAAGGCAAAGCAGAGAGAACTGATTAAGGCAAGAGTGAACAAAATTAAGAAACCACATGATAATGGCTCTTGGGAGACTGAAATAAAACAACAACAGACACATTTAAGAAACCACATGATAATGGCTCATGGGAGACTGATATAAAACAACAATGGACACATTTAAGAAACCACATGATAATGGCTCTTGTGGGACTGATATAAAACAACAATGGACACATTTAAGAAACCACATGATAATGGCACTTGTGGGACTGATATCATGAGAAGGATGGGCTTCATTATGATCACATTTCTAACATTCATTATTCTGTATTATTAGCTTATTTAGTTAACAGACAAAGACTCTAAAAATAAAAACTAACATAGTTAAAAGGTAGCTACCTAAACAAAATAATTACTGGCCAATATAATTAATAAGTACCTAGCTGAAAATAATTACTAGCCAATACAGTTAAAAGGCATCTACTTGGAAAACAATTACTTGTTAATATAGTTTATAGTTGAAGGATTTTACCTGGAAAACCGCCTTCCTCAAATGTGAAAATAGGATTGGGGATATCTTTCCCTTGGATTGTAATCTGTTTGTCTCTGTGAAATGCTCTGATTTCCTCCTGAAATATGCAAATTGTAATATTTTAAAAAAAAAATGAAAAACTGTACAAACCTACAAGGAAATGCCTGTCACAAGTAGCATGGTGATTTGATTCCACTCCTACAAAGGGGAAATGTTAAAACCATTGTGCTAAACGCAAACGAATACACTCTGGGTGCGAGCAGACTCTGCTGGTTCAACAGATCCCAACGAAAGAGGTTTGTCATACATCCATGTTGTAAGCCGCGAACATATGGCCATAACAAGCGTGAATCAAACCGTCAGAGACTTCAGAGTAACTGACCCCCCAGAGCTGAAGAAACAAGAGGGGAGAAAAATCTCTGGTACCAAACAAAAAGAAATAAACAGAACATCTTTCCATATCATGAAGCATATATGGCATAAGGTGATAAATACAATACATATTTCCAGACCAATTGAGACCAAAGAAACCAGTGCCAGTCACCTACACTTCCCAGGACATTTATGATACCCATGTAGCCTCAGTCAACCAGAGAGCCCATGTCTGTGTATGTGTGTGGAGGGAGGGAGGGAGGGAGGGAGGGAGGGAGGGGGGTATCCTACAGTTTCACAAATTTATTTGTTTCCTACAGCATGATAAATGAGTTCAAATGTTAAAAGATCCTTACTGAATAAACAGTTCAAATATCCACTAGTCTATTAAATCAAGCAGAGAGCTGGTAAAAAGTAAAAATAAAAGTCCCTTTTCCATGCCTTTAGGGCACAAAGGGCTAGACTTATATTTCTATAGACCAATCGGCACAAGATTGGGATGTGGTCAGCATCACGCCGGCCACCTTAACTTCCCGGGACTGCACCAGGTACCCACCCAAGGCTGGGTCGACCTGGGAGTCAAGGTAATTTTTTTTTTAAAGGCTGTCTCTGCCAAGGAGCGAACACACGACCTTCCGATCCGCATGCGAGTGTCTAGCCACTATGCCACTAGAACAGGGAGCTGGTGCTGTGAGATAAAACTCTGCTGTATATGCAAGTTTCTTAAAGTCACAGCAAAGGTCAGCAAATGTTTGACTGACTCAAACCTGTTACATTAATTTCCTGAGCCATTTATGTGACAAATATTTGCCTCACTGATCACAAAAGCGAACTGCCACTCTCGTAAACTGATGAGGTGGAAATTTAACCTGACTAAACTACTGTGATTCATGGGGTGCATTTGCTAAGAAAACACCGGAATCAAATGTTTTCTTCTCTGTATGTTTTCAACTTGGAAGATGCTGTTCTTCTAGAAAACTAATACAGAGTTCATTAACACTAATCCTGGAAACAAACAGGCCATTATTCTTGATAGTAAACAGCTTCTGATCACGCTTTTCTCTGTTTCCATCTTTATCACCCACAATGTATAAAAATATTGGATGCATATCTTTATAATCTTTGTAGTTTACCTCTTCTTCTGCTTCATCCAAAGATATAGAAGAAGTATCACAACAAAGACTATAAAAGTATGCATCTGATATAACATTTATTACTGAGCAACTACTGCCATGTGCAGCTGCAAAACCACTCATAAATAATTAGTACTCTTGTACTTTTGTAAATAATCAGCTTTCCACACGTATAAGACTAAAGCTAGAGTAAAACCAAACTGTTACAAACAAACACTATTACTTCATTTTCTTTTTGTATCACATGACAGCACTGTCCTTCCTGAAAACATCTGAGCAAAAACTTCTAGCATTTGCAGTTCAAACAGAAGAAATATGATTAACCAGAGGTAAATCTGCTCAACTTCACTAGAATAGTTGCATTTGTCATCAAGTGGAAGTGAACAAGCAGTGCCCAGTAACTGGTATATGGGATCATGGAAAAATAACAGCCAATTAATAAGTCCAATGAGATAACATGGCATATGTAAGTACATATAATTTCTATCACACTTACTGCTGGTCTGTATGTTACGGAGGGATGTTCTTTGTAAAAGTTTTTTTCAAATTTTTGCAAGGTGGACAGGTCCCATTTTGGTTTCCTCAATCTCTCTCCGGGTTGGGACCCTTTTAGAGACTTAAAGCCTCCTCTTCCACCCTGTCCGCCGCCACGGCCCCTAAAGTTATCTCTATCGCGTCCACTATGTCTGGAACTCATGTCTCTGAGAACATAAATCACATGCAACTCTGGCATTAGTACATTCAGTTATCAATACTACTTTTTTAAGAAAAATATATAATCAGAGGTTATTGTAAAAAGTTATGCCTGTATAATAAAAAAGAAAAACATATATGAAAAATAAGGTATGTCATGCTGGCACTGCAGTTCTGAGATTTAAAAAAGTTTAAGCACTTCTCAACAACCCCCCCCCCCCCCCCATATGTACCAATTATAGGATCTAGGTGGGTAGTTTGCACCTAGCTGGTCGAAGTAATCAATTACTCCCTATACTGTTGTATTTTTATGCAAGAACTGGCTTATTTATTATTCTGCCCTCAAGAATTCCACTTTTCCTAACTATCTTGTCTATAACACCACTGAAGTAAACAGTAGATAGATATCAGGTGAACTCTCTTAGTGTCATGACAGGTAACGGCCAACATGCCTTTAAATGTTGTCACAAAAAACGGGACGATCTGCATTTTCCCGTTTCAATTGGTTTTCTTCAAAACATTAATAGGCGCACACCCAATTGTGTCTGACATGGCATCTTGTTTTTCTTTGTATGGAGGAAGATTGTCAAGCTTAACAAGTTCATTTTGAACAACTTTCTGCATTAACGAATAGCATTTTCAGCTGTAGAAATGTTCTGGTCTCTTGTGCCAGACCCACTCCTTTCTTCAGATGCACCTACATCAACTCTGCCGTCAAGTCTATCATCATTGCCGCTACTTTCAGGTGAATCTCTACTTATCCAGGAATTATCGTTTTCAGCACTTAATTTGCTGGCAGATTCTGAATAATCAATACTACTGGTGTGATTTTCGTCACCAGACATGATAAAAAAGACTGAATATGCGCCAGTAACAAAAATTATCAAAATATCACTGAAAACAACGCTTGTATCGGCTCAAATCCGTAATGACCGTAATGACAGCCATTTTGGAATAATAAAAACACCCAGATGCAGTTTAATTCAAAAACTGTCGGCAAGGACCTCGGTCGGCAGACTACACGTCACAAATTCGACAATCAGCGAAGTTGGTCACCAATGGAAATGGCAGGAAATTCGATGATCGTCGAAGTTGGTCAGCAAAGTTTTAACCCACCAAGAGACAAAAAAATTATTATAATCTAGTATCCAAGAAAGGTGGCTGGATACACATAACAGATTCTCTCCCCAAGACTCGTTTCATCGCCCCTTTAGAGAGGGACAGTGTATTATATTCATACTAAAGACTGGGCACAACAGACTTCGTCAACATATGTTCAAACCAGAAAATGCTGAGCATGTGCTCCAACACTGACAAATGTATGCAGACAATAGAAAAGCAATCTGGCCTGTTCCAGCCACAATGATGACAAAGCTGTATGGTACACAAGAGGATATGGACTGCACGATAGCTTTAATAAAGGCTACCGGCCTCCTGATACAAGTTTTCTGACAAAAGGATGGAAGAAGAAGTCCAGGTTGTTTAGTCAAAGGAGCATCCACAAATTAGAAGTTATTATGTCATAAGCTAGCTTATAAAGCTGACATAGATAGACATCAACTTCAAAATAAATTTGGGATGCATTTTTATAACTATGCAGAAGATTACCTTTTTACTGTACCAGCACTTCCTCAGGGAGTATAAGATGGGTCATTTATATTATGATATTCATGACCCAGAAACTAACATGATTGGGGCTTGGTCGGGATAGAGCCTCATTTAACCGTTGGATTAGACAGGATACAGAGTAGGAAGGAAAAGGAAAGTTTATGACTTTTATGTAGATGTCATTAGACATGAGATCTTAAAAAATGTTAGAGACTAATCAACTTGTTACTTTATGAAAACTGAAATTTAACATTAAAATCACAATGCAGTACTGACATTTCAAAAGGTAGTGTGGAAAACTGTAAGAGCTCCAGGGTTCACTTTCATGAAAACTGTAGGTAGGAGGAATATTATTTGTGAAAAGTCACATTTGATTGCTAGTCGAAGCAAATACCTGAGGGGCAGATCCGTAAGCGACGGAGGCAAGGCCATGCTATTGTATATCTGGATGAATCTTGTGTTAATGCTCACCATACCTATGCTAAAGAATGGCAATCAGTAAATGGTGAACCGAAAAGAAACATTCCAAGCAGCATAGGCCAGCTCATTATACTCTATTATGCAGGAAAAAGTGAAAAAGGCTTTATCCATGATGCTGGGCATTTTGCAATCAAAAAGTATAGATGGTAGGGACTACCACACTGAAATGAATGGACTTATTTTCAGGCACTGGCTGGAGAAAGATCGGCTCTCCTTCAAACTTGGTCCCCATATTATGGCGACCAAACAAATACCCTAACAGGGCCTCAGTTGTGTGTAAAATGCGGACTTCCTCCGATGAACAGATCGCAGGAAAATTAGGATACTGTCTGTTGACAATTTCAAGAAACGCAACAATACACATGATAATAGCGACATGGCAGGGAGAACACGCGCTCCGACGCAGGTTAGCGATAGTGTTCTTCCAATTAAACTCACCGCCGAGCGTATCCTACACACTGCTACGCGCAGATGGGGGGGCTAAACTAGTTGGCTGGGACTCACAAGCAGTAGCTACGCCATCTCCTGCAATTTCCTCCAATTTATTTGCTCGCGAGTCCCAGCCATCGAGTTTAGCCTCCCCTATCCAGGGGATACTGTCGGCGGTACGGCACAGGTCCACAATTAACAGATCGCTGAGACCCTGTTAGAGCATTTGTTTACCCTCGATAATATTGGCCCGTTATTCGGAGGCAATCCTAATTTTGCCGCAATTTGTTCCTCAGCAGGCACTCCGCATTTTACATACGACTTGAGGCCCTGTTAGGGTTTTTTTTTGGCCGCCATAATATGGGTATTTTTTATTTTTTTTAAATTTTTTATCGATCACCGGCCGTGAATTCCGGTGGAAGGTCCCGGTTAATCGTCCGCTTGGACTTTTGGCTTTCACCTGGACCTGATTTTTGCGTGTACAACCGTTTTTTTATTTCCCTGCCTCATGGACAGCTGTACTCCGACTTCGAAGGAAGACGTTAGGCCTATTTCTAGGGTGACTGTGGCCATTGTTTTGTGTGGGTCGAGACGTTGCCTGATTTGTGTGGTGTCCGCTTTGTCTCCTTCTCCACAGGTATTGCCCCCGGAGTACCTCTTTAGGGCAGCCCCCTGTTGAACAGTTAGCCCTCAAGGGAAGGCAGGGGCAGATCATGGGCATTCCCCGCCATCCAAGGAGGCTTCCATGTATGCAGAGCCGGCACATGGCGCTCTGGTTCTGGGCTCACCCAAGGAATCGTCACGTCCTGCACATACCTGCTTAACCTCACAACCGTATCAGGCCTTCCACTCGACAGGGGCTGAGCTCTCTGGAAGTCAGCGGGGAGCAGCCCGTGGGTTTAGGACTTTTGTGACCACACGGATAGGTACATTCTTTTTTCTTCGCACGTTAGATTTCCTTGACGAGCCGCTAGCCCGACAGAACTTTACATCCTGCGTCAGGCATATCGTTATCAGTTTTGTCCCAACACTCGGGCGAGTAGGGGTCTTTGGGTGTGGACATTTGGTCTTTTTCCGTTCAATACAAATTGTGATGGTCAGATTTTGATCCGTATGATCTAGTTTTGTCGGACATTTAGGCTTAGCCATCCAATGGATGGTTGCTGTTGTGGTATACCTCAGCGCGGTGACGACGACACTGAGGGTTAACAGAGGATGTGCAGTGAACAATGTTCTCCTTACTCCGCAGTCTTTTAACCAAGGGTTGTAATTTTGGCTGTTCGTTTGGCAAACCTACTCAGGTTACTGAGCTTTGATAACTTTTCACCCAAGCGCTTGGGGGGCGGGCTGATGAGAGCCACAAGGACACATCACCTCTGGGGGCCGCCGAACTCCGAGATCCCCTGACAGCTCTGTTAATGCTCATTTTAGACATTATCTGTGGCGCACGACGAGGACGTGCTGCAGGGGTCTTGCGTGAGGTTCCGTACAACCAGGATAGTGAGGGACTGGCGACCGAGTGACGTACGGAGTATCTCCTTATACACATGTTGGACTTAACTTCCCCTCACGCCTGTGACCTAAATGGGTATGAATTTCGAAGAAGAGCCAATGATATTCTTCCAATTATGGACAAACCTCGTGCCTAGTAATGGATAATGCTGATAATGCCGTATCAGAGGAAGACAAAGTACCAACAACATCAAATAGAAAAGATTAAATTAGGACATGGCTTGCTAAGGAAAATGCCAACTTTGACGACACATATTTGAAGGCAGAGTTGCAGCTTGTGAAGAAAACCAATAAGACAAATATGATATTGACAAAATCATTAATGAATATGGCCACACTTCTCTGCGATTCCCTGCACATCATTCACACCTCAATCCGATAGAGCTTATTTGGGCTAAAGTCAAAAGACAAGTTGCCAAAAAGAATAGTTCATTTAAAATGTGTGATGTTGAAGTTTTGACACATGAGTCCTTCTCAAAAATAGACATTCATTTCTGGAAAAAGTATGTTGAACATGTGCTCCAAGAGAAAGACGAGTACTGGCAGGTTACAATTTGTTCAGCAGGTAACAATTATCAACCTTTTGGGGTCATCAGATTCGGAATGATTAAAACAATTTTTTTTTATAAGTGGTTGAATATCATCAATCTGTTAGGTACATCTACAACTGCAACAAATATATCTCCATATCTAAATGTGTCAATCATTAAACAATTTGCTGTACAGTTAAGATACACAGTGGGGTCTAATGGTGACTGAAGGGCAATACTAACTGTTGCATGGGGTCTAATGGTGACTGAAGGGCAATACTAACTGTTGCATATTGGGGACATGTTTACAAATGAACAAGGCAGACGATTAGCTGGATCTGCACCACTGGGAGGCGAGTTGATACATGACAAGGCAGGTGTGGTCAGGGCTCTATGGGAACAAGTAATGAAGTCAGAAGAGAAAATAGGCTATCTTCCGAATAACGGTCCCAAATTATCTACGCAGAAAATATACCATAACAGGGCCTCATTCACGTGTCAATTGCGTACTTTCGGGGACTATACCGGCTATACTTCAGGCGCCTTCCGCCATGAGTACACCCCACGCCATGTGGATTGAGGCTAAACTAGATGGCTAGGACTCACGAGCAAATAAAACGAAGGCAGCTGCAGGAAATGCGGTAGCTGCTGCTCATGAGTCTCAGCCATCTAGTTTAGCCCCAATCCACGCCACGTGAGCGGCGTGGGGAGTACTCTCGGCGGTGGCGGAGGTTGCCGAAAGTTCGCAATTCGGTGGCGGCAGAAGTCGCCGGAATCCCGCATTTCAAGACAACGGAACTGCGCAATTGACACGTGACTGAGGCCCTGTTAGGGTATATTTTCTCCGTAGATAATGTAGGACCGTTATTCGGAAGATAGAAAGAAAATAGATTATCATGGCTCGGAGAGAATGATACACCTGGGTGTGACCAGAGGGACTGGCTGGCACTCTACACTCAGAGAAATGGCAAGATGAACATATGATCAGACTGTGTAGGGTACCATTAGTATTGGAACTTTGCGCTGGCTGCTGCATACAAGAATGCCCCGAGTGCTGTGATGTCTTTCTTGACTCAGCTCAACACATCTCAGCTGAACATAAATAACAAATAAATTTACTACACCTATCAATGTATTATGAAGACACGCCTCTGACACCAAAAAAAAAAATAGAAACAGAAATTTAGATTTCACTGTAAAATCTAAGAGTTTACTCTACTTATTTACAATGGTTAAAAAAGATAAAAGGAACTGGCTGGTATTCAGCATCCTGGGCATCTATGGACTAAAGAATATTGAATATCACTATTTTTTGCGTCATGGTATACTAAGGCTGCATGCAAAAAACTAGTTGCGATCTAACAGGCAGTTTTCTATAAAATGGCTTGCAAGTGTTCATGAGATGTTGAACGAACTAAAGTCGCATTCAGTATTTTATTTAGCACTTTTGTTCAAATGATGGCTGCTCGCTTTACCCAAACGAAAAGGGTGTCCCGGTGTGGTCGATAAGATGATGATGATTAATTTATTGATGACAAGAGATAATCATGGATATGCTTCCTCTCACGACTTATAGTTATTCAGGTTGATAAGGGACTACAAAATAAAATATGTCATGTTTATCTATTTGCTGTCGGAAATTGTAATAAGTCTTCTTTTTGACTTTTGTAGCGTAATTTATGTAAGCGATCTCGTTGCCGGAGATAGTTTCAGTTATGAGAGTTTGAGTTTCAGTTTCACAATCAATTGCTGCAATCTGACGATGATAATTGGCAAAAGGACCAGCCATATATGTAACTCACCCTCCTCCACGTCGATCACGTGAATCGTACCTTCCTTTGCTTGACATTTTCTAAAAATTCAAACTATAAATTATATCAAAAAAGTAAGTTCAAATACCACAAAGTTGTTCAAACCAACGTCCTGAAATGGCCGTGAAGGAAAGAGAGAAATGGCAGATGCGGATGAACATATGTTAATGATAATAATAACAGCTATTTATATTTCTTATATCTTTAGCCATATACTTTAATTACGTGAAAAGTTGACTGACTTAGTTTTTTTTAATAACCGTGCTGTGCTCTCTGTTATTATTTTGCAATTTTTAGATATTTTTGGAAGGCACTATTTTGTAGTTCCAATTTTTCTGCACGTAACTTAGGCCAGCTGACGTCATTTGTTCCGGTTTGTTAGAAAGTGTGGTGACGTATAACACAAGTATATCTTCTCGTAGTTTAGGGATTGTTCTGCTTCTTCGTCTTCTTCTTCTCTTCCACCTTGTACCTCATCGAAGTGTCGGGGGTTGCTGTAACGTTCGTTGATGAGCTCTGTCAGGAGAAGGACTACTAAGAATGATGTTCATTTCTGTAAGGCTGTTCCTAATGCCATCACTCCATATTTTCCAAAGTCTTCTACTCGCTCTATACCCGTTTTAACGTTTTAGTGTGGCTCGCTGTGGCAGATAGTACCAGGGCATTCTTGTTAGGTGTTCAAACCAATTTATTTGTTGTTCTTTGATGACCTGTAAGATTGTTCTGCAACGTAGTAAAACATCAATGATACACACAACATAAATGCGTGCACGCATCCACAGCCCGGAGAAAAGATCCAAAGTATGCTCACTACCCGTGAGCATCCCAGTGTAGCTTGCCACTCTGCTCGAAAAATCCCTGTCTTCACCTATTTCAGCATTCTTTTAGAGTCTGTTACAATTATGACATGTATGCATCTTGTTCTCTAGCCACTGGAGAGCTGCAATTACCGCTTCCACCTCATTTCTCGTGCTAGATGTTGAGGTGTCATATGCTAGGCTGTCGGGGTGTCTTATGTACATCCTAGGATCACCCACATAGCTTCACTCTGTATGCGCTCTAGTTTCTCTAGTTGACTCTTCGAGACAGTGAGTAACCCTAATCAATAATCAATCACTGAGATGATAAAGTGCTAGTAAAGTGTGAACAGCATTCTCTGCTCCATGTCCATCGCTGCCATAAATAATCTTTGGTGCATTAAGACCTTTTTGAGCCATTGTCACTAGTCCCTCTATGTCATCCTTGAAAGAAAAACTTCTGTCAAAGGTGATTCCCAGGAACTCCAGTCTGTTGTCTCTTTTGATGTCCCTGCCATTTATTTTGAGTCTATGAACATCAGCCCTAACAATCCTGTTGTCCAAAGAACACAACAGGGTGGTTGCTTTTTTTGGGTTGATTATAGCACTCATCTCTGTACACCAGTCGATCACCTTATCTACTGTCGTCTGTAACCCTTGAGCAATTTTATTCCGATCACTCCCCTGCCTATATGCGAGAAAATCATCAGCGAACGTCAGTATTCTACCAACTCTAGGTGTTTCCGGTTCCACAATCTTGCTCGTAAACATAGTGAACAGCACGTGGTAGTCCCGGGGCTATAATTCGTGGTTCGGAGGTCCATCAACCAAGTCGAAGAGCTAGCTACCTGACGTGAATACAAAGCAGCTGCTATCCAGTTAACCAACCAAGGACAGACTTTCTTTTCTTTAAACGCTGTCATCAAGATATTATATCTGACTGCTGTAATCATCATCAGGTGCCTTGCCGACGGGCGTGGGTGATCATGCCTCTCCACATTATACGATCTCGTGCAGCATGTATCAGTTCGTGTGCCGACCCACCTCCATGCCATGCATCTTCCATCTGATGTTATCCATGTCCCAGATACTTACATTTTTAAACTTGCCCAAAAATAACACCATCGACTTTTATTTCACATTTAGGAATAATTCGTTTCTTTGATACCACCATTACTTCTGTCTTCCCATTATTTAAACTGAGGCCCATTCTTCCACTTTCTAACACCACAATGTCTATCATTTCCTGTAGTTCTTTCTGACTTGTTGCTATCAAGACTGTGTCATCAGCACAACGTAAATTGTTTATATTGTGCCCACCAACCACAATTCTGGGCATATCAATTAAAGATCTCATTATATATTCACTATATATTGAAAACAAATCAGGTGACAGTACACATCCTTGTCGTACGCCCCACTTTATGCTTTGAAATGTACCTAAACAGTTATTATTTCTTATAGCTGCTGTTTGCTGCCAATAGATATTCTTTATTATTCGTAGATCTTTTCCATCAATGTTTAATTTTTCTAACAGTTTGATTACTTCTTCATGCTTCACACAGTCAAATGCTTTTGTATAGTCTATGAAGCATAAGTACAAATCAGTCTTTACTTCTATAGCTATTTCTGGCAATGTCCTTAGGATGTAAATGGCATTGTTTGTACCTTTTACTTCTACAAATCCACATTGTTCATCGCTGATTTCTGGTTTAATTTTGTTTCTTATTCTTCTCATAATTATTCTCAGTAAAATCTTAGTCATGTGACTCATAAGACTTATTGTGCGATGGTCTTCACATTTTAAAGTGCCTGGTTTCTTTGGCAGAGCTATAAATATGGATTTTAAAAGGTCATTTGGAATATACCCACTATTATAAATATCATTTAAAAGTTTAGTTATTATTTCAGTTCCATAATCTCCCAGTGTTTCGATTTCTTCCAGTGAGACATTGTCTGGCCCGGGTGCTTTTCCTTTCTTCATATGTAATGCATCCTCAACTTCTGCAGTCAATTTTGGCCGACCATCATTGTTGGTCTGCAGTTTTACATCTGATCTATTATCATCATACAATTACCCTATATACTCTACTCTGTCCATCTGCTAATTATATTACTATGTCCTATTATTAAATCACCATCTTTTGATTTTAAACATCCAGTGCTGTTACGTGTCATCATTCCTGTTAACATATTTATCTGTTGGTACATGGAATGTGAGTCTTTCCTGTGATTTTCCCCAATCTCTGTACAAATTTGATTCAGCCAGGCTTCTTTAGCCACTTTGCATTTGTTCACTATTTCTTTTTGTATTCTAGAGTATTCCTCTTTATCATTCTTTTTCTTCCTTCTTTCATTTATCAACTGCAGAATATCGGTTGACATCCATTTCTTTATTGCGACTCTATGGGTTGGTGGGATTGTCTCTTTTGATGTCTATTGAATTGACTCACGCAACATTTCCCACTGTTCATCAATAGTCTGAATAATTTCCATTGCATTATACAGGTTTTGTCCATCAGGACCTGAACCCTCAACATTCTGATCCACGGGCGAGCGTCCAGCCGCTACACCACGCTGGCTCCCTTGAATGTGTGTACATATATATGTGGGAGTGTATGCACATACATATACAAGTATTCCCGTGTGGACGTGCACGTGTATGCGTATATATGCTGTTTAAAAAGGAAACGCAGTTATCTGATGACGATTTCCTGTTAAAAAAACAGTTTTCTGATGGTGATTTTTTATTAGGTGACGGGAAAGCCTAAACGTCTAAAAACTAACAATGATCCAGATAAAAAAGAAATATCAGTTGACTGGTTGAAATTAATTGGTTGAATCCTATAGTGTTCTTGTGTGCAATTTGAACAGTTTCATTTATTTAATTACACATATTTTGAATATTAAAATTATGACAAAACTAAGTTCCGTTCAATAGCTGTGCGTTTGTTTACCCCTTGTACTCAATACTCAATAATGCAATACATTACAGGGTAAAGCGCCATCGGATAACTATGCATTAAAAAAATACATATATGTATTTAAAAAAACACAACACACACACACACACACACACACACACACACACACACACATATATATATATATATATATATATATATATATATATATATATATATATATATATATATATATATATATATATATATAACAATGTTAACCTGCATGCACTATTTTATTTATATGCCATTTTACTAGGCCACAGTCCGTTCAGTCACGCCGTCATTCCACAATTGATTCATTTCCTTGGAATATAATAGCACAGGAATTCTGTATACACTAGACCCCTTCCCCTTCTGCTCGACAATCTTCTCTGAGCACTTGAGTTCAATAGCACGAGAGTTATGATACTCGTACACACCAGCCCAGCCCTTGCCATCCCCCCCCCCCCCCACCTCTTTCAACAATCTTCTCTGAGTACTTGAGTTCAATAGCACGAGAGTTATGATACTCGTACACACCAGCCCAGCCCTTGCCATCCCCCCCCCCACCTCTTTCAACAATCTTCTCTGTGTACATGAGTTCAATAGCACGAGAGTTATGATACTCGTACACACCAGCCCAGCCCTTGCCATCCCCCCCCCACCTCTTTCAACAATCTTCTCTGAGCACTAGAATTTAGCAGCACGGAAGTTCTGATACTGATGCACACCAGCCCAGCCCTTGCCATCCCCCCCCCCACCTCTTTCAACAATCTTCTCTGAGCACTTGAGTTCAATAGCACGAGAGTTATGATACTCGTACACACCAGCCCAGCCCTTGGCCCCCCCCCCCCCACCTCTTTCAACAATCTTCTCTGAGCACTAGAATTTAGCAGCACGGAAGTTCTGATACTGATGCACACCAGCCCTGCCCTTGCGACATCCTCACACTCTTCAATCTTCACTAAAGTTCAATGGCACAGGATATCTTATACTCTTACGCAACAGCATTTACCCACCCCCTCCCCCCCCCCCCCCCCCCCCAATTCCAACAATTGTCCATTAGCACTGGAGTTTAATAGCCCAGGAGAGCTGGTAATCGTGTGCACCAGCGCCCCCCCTTCCCCCCGCCCCTCAACAGGTACTAGAGTAACGGTCCAAGTCACTCATTTTGGTGTAATTAACACTTCTAGGCCAAAATACTTGGCACAAGAAACCAGACCACAACTGTAGCTGATATTGCTTGCAGTACGTTGAACGTGGTTCATATTTTTGTTTCCGTAAATGGGTCGGTGT